AAGGGAGAATATTCTCCCAACAAATTGAATGGAAAGTGAATATAAGGAAAGAGGAACAGGATGAAATGAATGTTACAGAACATGCTTTTGTGGAATTGCACTTACAATATGGGAATTGTGGAAAAAAATCCTTTATGGAATGATGAAGAGGAAAATGAGAATGGATGCAAACAAAGAACGATTATTGAAAAAATGAGAATGAGAGAAAGATTCTATGTATTATGAGAATCAGAGAAAAAAATGCAAAGACTGTAAACAGATAAACGAAGGACAGTTAAAATTTAAAGGAGAGAAGATGCAGTCTGAATCAGGTGTAACTAAAAAAATATGACTCAAATGTAAAAATAATTTTATGTTTTATTTTCAAGCACTAAACAAGAAGCATCCAGCAGAGTAAATGGAATTGAAAATAGTTGAAATAAAACTGTTAAACAATGTTAAGGCTCTTTCTAATTAAATTTGTATTTTTATTTATTATGAATGCCTTTATGAAGCTTTAGTCATCCAGCTCCACACATATACTATATATTTACAGTACACATAACATTATAATAACTGAAAATCTCTACAGTATGGATAGATAAATAGTATACAATACAGCATATGCTAAAATATACTTTAATCTTCATCATAAAGGTTGAAAAAAAATAGTCAATTTTTCAAACTTGGGATTTAAACTGAATCTGATAGATTATTTTCATATTAAGAGGCTATTCACTATTTTACAATTTGAACAGTATCAGTTTTGCTATATTGATTATTTTATGGAGCTTTGCTCTATAACTGTGAAGTAAACAAACAGATATGTTTGCAGGATCCAATCTGGGTCGGTCACCAGGACCAGAAGTTTAGTCTTCCAAGCTTTCAGACTCGTGCTGGAGCCCATGGTTCACTTCTGGTCCCGGTGACTGATTCAGATTGGATCCTGCAACATTATCCTGGAACATGTATATTCGCCTTCATTCAAATCAGACATGTTATTTAGGCTAGTAATATAGGTGATATAACAAGAGAAATATTAAAATAAAAATTCTATGATTTATAGCTTTCAATAAGTGAAGATAAAATCTCTGCTCAATAAAAGTATCATCACTGTTCTCCATACAAATGGAACAGTAGCCAGAACGAATGACTAAACTACAGGGATTTATTTCACATGTCTGGAAGCTGGTTTGTAAATTTCTGATTGAAAGCATTCAAGAGATGATACCGAACACAATTTTAAAAATGCAGTGCCACTGTATTCCAGGAAGGAATATGCAGGCCAGATTTTTGGTCTTCCACAGACCCCTGAGAGATTGAGTATGAGAATATGCACCATGTTTATTGCTGCATAGTCCCCAAAGGCAAAGCATCATGGGTATGTTTATAGGTGTCCATGTTTGCAAGTATATTAATTTCTATCAAAACTCGCATCATATTTTTGTGAAGATTTATTCTTTTTGAACATCTTTACTATGGGATTATCATATGGATATCCATTGGATTGTTGGCATTTAATATTCTTTTGGCTAATACTAGACCTAGAAGTCACGAGGCAATGATTCTAGAATGCAGCACCATGATCCACAACTGTTAGTCCCAGATAAATATGTTACATAAAAATCTATGCGGTACTAACAAGATTGATTCCATGGCCAAAGGACTATTAGTACCGGCAATCCGTAGACAGTGATACTAGATACACAATAGGTTCATTCTTTCTGTGAAAAAATATACTTAAATATTGCTTAATAATTTAGGAAATTGGAGACATGTTGAATATGCTAATGATTGGTTCAAGATTCAACCTGCCCACAGTCAGGAATTTACAATCATATTTCAAAACAGAGTCATACTTCCAGATAGCCGCCAGGTAAATAGAAATTTTATATAAAATGCAGATAAAAATTCCATTACATATTTAGTTTGCGTTATCAAACAAAATATTAACAAATAAAAACAAAATAAATTGAATGATACAAGCAACATGGTTATAGTCATAAGTGGAAAGACATAGATAATAGGAAGGAAGAGAATAATAATAATAATGCAGTCTTAGTAAATTATTTGACAACGTTGTGGAAATTAGTTGTTAAGCAGAGTGATGGCATTCAGGGAAAAAACTGTTCTTGTGTCTAGTTGTTCTGGTGTGCAGTGCCCTATAGCGTCATTTTGAGGATCAAAGTTGAAACAATTTATGTTGAAGATGTGAGGGATCTGTAGATATTTTCACAGCCCTCTTTTTGACTCATGCAGTATACAGGTCCTCAATGGAAGGCAGGTTGGTAGCAATTGTTTTTTCTGCAGTTCTAATTATCCTCTGAAGTCTGTGTTTGTCTTGTTTGGTGCAGAGCCAAACCAGACAGTTATAGAAGTGCAGATGACAGACTCAATAACTCCCCAAAGAGCTGCTGATTGAGTTCTACAAACAAAAAAAGTAAATTCTACCTGCAATTATGTTTTGGAAATACCCATGTTAATAGTTAGTACTCTGAAACTGTACTAAAATATTCATTTCTGACAATACAAGTAGCTATACTTAATTCTTGTTCTTTGGAACTATGACTATATACAGTATTTCCTTTGCCAGTAAGTAAGTGCAGTTAGCCAGTTCATTAGAGAGAGTGACTCAACAAGTATTAGGAACTGAGTTAAGGTCTTTCTTTGTCCCCTCACCAGCTCATAACATTTTTCATGCCACCAACTTGCCCTGTCATTGTTTAATCTTGTAGGTCTTGCTGGTTTTATTCTGTGTAATTTGGTTCCTTACACATTTGCTGTTCTGCAAGTCCTGAGTAGATGGAAGAAAGCTCCATCTCATACATCAGTGACAAAGAAAAAAAAATTGTTGTCCTAAAAAAATTAAGCTGCATTTTTCCAGGACTATTGTGCTTTTACAAGAAAGATTTAAAAAGGGAGGCAATCATGTAGCTACCTTTAATATGTGAAATTGCCATTGCAGTATGTTTGACAATTAAATTGTGTCTGATGAATGACAAAATGTTTATCTAACATTCATTCATTCATTTTATCTAGTAAACATTAAGGAATCTTATCAGTATAAGAAACATCATTTGTGATATTGAAATAATGTGCTTCACTTCTGAAGTTTCACTGTGCTTCATTTCTGAATATCTCTCCATACAGAAAGAGAAGTTAGGGAGAAGTAAGAAAGTTAGGGAAAAAAACAAAAAGAGGCCCTAGGAAAAGAATCACGAGTTTGGAATTGTGCTGATAACAGTTATCAGTTTTATGATAATACAGAATTTACATTCATGTTTTTTCCTGGTAACATGAGCGAATCACTGAAATGGAAGGGTCTATTTTTAATTGTCTGTTCCTATACTAGATCCAGGATTGGTATAAAGCTGTGCATGGCATGGACATAACTTGAATGTGGGGAAAATTATAATTAATTACCACTGACAGCCACCTGACCCAACAGAATGGGAGGGCAGGGTATGTTACGGATTCCCCCTATTAAGGAAATCCATCTACTGGGACCAAGAAAATGGGCCCTCTCCATGTTGGTTCCCTCCCAGTAGAACATCATCCCCATAAAGATAAGTTTGATTCCCACTGTAATACTTTTTTGAAAGGCCCTGAAGACATAGTTTTGCCTGGAGACCCCAGGGTGATACAAAGCCCGTTAAGTTGTTTGTTTGATTGATGTCACCAGAGGGACAGGGTTTGATGGATATGTATTTGGAGTTTTACTTTGTAAGATACTTAGGATCACTGTGAGTTGGTCGGCCATATAATTTTTTTCTTACTAAATACAATAATTTTTTAAAAAATATACAGATAATCCTTGACTTATGACCATAATGGAAGCTGCCTATCATGGTCATAAGTCATGATAGTGGTAAATCATGTCCCCTACATGACTGGCCCTATTTTATGACCTTTTTTGCAGAGGTCATGAAGTGAATGTCACCGTAGTTAAGCAAACCAACAGTTTCCCAAAGGGTGTAAGGAAATGCCTGTTTTTGGCAATACCATTGTAAGTATGCCATGTGACTGGGGGATCATTGCAAATAGCTGTAAATGCAAGCCAGTGTCAAGTGTCCGATATGTGGTCAGATGACAACTGGGGGAGGAGCTGTTTGGTATTTTGGAACTGTGTTGTAATTACTTTGAACTGTGGCTAAGTGAATGGTCATAAGTCAAGAATTGCCTGTATTCTCATGTGATATTCCTGTATGCATTCAGTTGGCTCTATCCTCTTTGGACATATATTCCCTGGTAGAACAGCTCCATTCACATGGTCTCTCAAGCAATTCCACTAGCATAATCTTCAGAGGGATAAATGATCCATTTGGGTTATGACACTTCTATCGGATCCTTAATTAGTAAAACAAGAATATGGTATGGAGCTGTTCCAAAAGGATCAAGAATGTTGCCACAACAAAGAAGCCAAGCCAATGGCAATGGAATTTCAAATCCATTCTATTGCTAGCTACATTTATTTCCATAATAAAATAAAGTAAAATCTTCCTCAAGTCCATCTCAAGTGCCAGTGGCACTTCATGAACCCATCCCACCTTTTCTTGATGTTTGTCACTGTTTTCTTCTTGGATATTTTTCAATGTCCTAATACAGTCAACATTCCTGAAATTCCTAGGTAAGACTCCATCCCAATACACTATGGGTAACTTTGCTTAGCTTCCAAGATTAGCTAAATGCATTGTGGGCTTTTCCCTATCTTTCTATAAGCATGACAGAACTCTGCCCCGATAACACCTTTCTTCTGAGACTTCCTTGTGATGTTGGCTTCATCTCATTGGTCTATAGGTGACCCACTTTAAGGTATCCTTCACTATACCAGTGCACATTTGCATTTTCCCTTGAACAGTGTCCAAAGTTTGCCTTAAGGTGTGTAAAATGCTTGGAGGAAGGTCAGGTGACTCAAGTGACTGGGAACAGGGGCAGAAGAGGGTGGGGACAGCAAACTGCATGCGGCATAGTTTTCTGCCTACTCAGTGGTGTGTGGATAGCAGTTCAACCCAGGCAGTGGAGAAAGGCTGGGACTCTTTTTTTTTTTTTTTCCCTTTCGCTCTCCCCGTCGGCGTTTATATACTGCAATTGTCTGTCTGGTCCTGCTTGATTCCCTTCTCCCCTTTCTCCGGGCTCCTCCACCGCTCCGCTTTCCCCGTCCCCTGACAAGGACTCACATAGAAGGCGTGTCCTCTCGGGGCGGTTGCTGCCGCTGCGGAAGGCAGCTTAAAGCTATAAAAGAAGTGATCGGGTGCCGGCTTGAGCTGCATTTCCCGCCTCTGCTTTCCTCCGAAGGACTTGGAGCCGGTGCCGAATAGAGCAGCGGGAGCGCCGCCCGCGTGCCTGGGGGCGAATTGAAGGCCAGGGCACGGCAAAGCCATAGAGGGCGCTAGGCAAGCCTCAATGCGCGGTCTAGCTGCCTTTGCAACATGCTGGAACTACAGATCAGCTAAAAGGACTTTGCACACCGCTGTCGGAGCTGGATTGCAGCGCTCTCTTTCCTTATGAAGAAGACACAAGTGAGTATCCAGTGAAGAAGTTTTGCGTCCCTCCGGACTTGGTGCTGATGGTGGTGATGGTATCTGGACAGACTTATACAGGGCGGGTGGGATGTGCGCTCCGCGGGGAAGGATGAAGACGTCTGGTGTCCAGGCAAGTGGAAGTTTGGCGGGGAGAAAAGAGGGGGTTGCCTTCCATAAAAGCCAGACGAGAGATTACCTTCTGGCTGTTGGGTTGCCTTACAGCAACGAGGCTGCCGAGTTGCTTGCAGAAGCGCCGCTAACTTTCTTTTCCCCCCCCCCACTCTTGCGCGTGGATTTGCGTGGCGGAGCATTGTAAGCCGCCTTGAACCAACCTCGCGCTTCTATACAACGGGATCTTTCTGATTAGGGGGCAGGTAGGTGGAGGAGAGGGCATTCTGATGACGATGGCTCACTCTATGGCGGGGGGGGGGAGGGAAGCATTCTTAAGGCCATTGGGGCTGGTGATCATTTGTCAAATCCCTCCTTTCCTACCCTGTGACTACCTGGTCGTTTCCACCAGGCAGGATTCTGACCAAATAATTCTTTACAGATAGGATGAATCGTGCAAATACTGGATCAATAAGTAAACTGAAATGGCTCAATACCAGCTAGAACTAAGGGATAGAAGTATTGCTTCTTTAATAATCATGCAAAGAGTGCCTGTTTGGGGTACCCTTTCCTCTTTGCTTTTATCTTTCATTGACATCCCTCCTTTTTTTTCCCATTCCGTATCTGAACATGCTCCTTTCTGTACAAGGTGCATTTTGTGTCATAATTTATTTCAGCAAGGGGACTGGCTGTAGAGGAGGAGAGGAGTAGGAATTGAAAGAAGATTGCCCAGAATGACAAGGAATTGCTGACAAGAATGAACTAAATGTGTTTGGGACTCCCTTGCAATAGATAGATGATAAAAAGATAGATAATAGATAGATGGAATCTCCCAGTATTGTTGCCTTGCCGGTTTTTACACAGCAGTGCCTTCTTCACCCCACCCTTTAATCCCAATGTTTTCCTAGCTACTTTCTTTGGTATCTCCTGCTGTCTTGGCTCATGTGCCATTTTGGGTCTTCCACATGTAAGGAATGAAATGAAGGGATTCAAGCAAGGAGACTTGGGTGGGATCTGCAACATTTATTCGGTGTCATTCAAACAGAAACAATGAAATTAGATTGTTTAATTGGAAAAGTTGTGAAACAGAAAGATCCTATATTTTGGGATCAGTGAGGTGTACAGAAGTATTAATATATCTTTCTTATAATTTTTAGATCTTGCTACGTTTGGAATGTTAAGATGTGATAGGTAGATTGAAAAACATCACATCAGAATCCTGAGGGGAGAAAACTCTTTGTGCAGTCAATATATATTTCATTCAAATTATAGTAGTGGCAGTTGCTATTTAATTTTGTTTAGTTTGTGTATGCTAATGTCTGCTCAGAATGGAAAGTATGAGCTGGATTGGAGAAAATTCTGAACTCTGTACTCTGTACTCTGTATGATGGAGTAAAAAGGCAAAAGTGTTACTTAAAAAGGAAGGCAAGTAGAGTTCAGTTTGCAAGCTGTTGAGTTTCACCCTACAGTTCCATTTTGCACATGTAAATATGACTTTGAAAGTTACCAGTTGCACACTGAAGCTGAGATACTGATTTTACGCTAAAAACTGATGCAGTAGTCTATGGTGGGTTCAAGAGTTCTTTTCTGTGGCTTATGAATCACCTTCTGACCTACCAGCTTTCTTCTAGTCAGAATTCAGAGATATAATTGAACAGAGAACATTTTTTAGGAAAGAAAGATGGATAGTTGCAGACAAATTTCTCTTATCTTTCTGTATTGTGTTAGCTGATGGGGAAAAGGGTCAGAGGTTTAGGTGGGGAAAAAATGTCCAGTTTCAGAAGTTAAAAGAAACCAAGGTAATGGTTTATAACAAGGTAACGATTCACATTTAAGACAAGTGGAGAAGAATTCTGTCAACAGTGCATTGTATTTCTCCGTGTTCTTTTCCTATAATGCACTGTGAGCTGGGATTAAGGAAGCTTTCCTGCAGATCGTGCAGTGCGGGATTTAGGTTGTCATCAGGTTGTAACTGCGCTGGCTGATTTCAGGGCCTCTTCAGCCTCTGAGGGAATTAGTCACTGTTCCATGTTACCTTAGCCATTGTTTTGTACCTTTCAATCTGCTCCATTGTTCAGGCTTCTGTACTGCTGAAAGCTCTGGGGGAGGGCAGTAAGGGTGGAAGGGAGGGGGAAAATGCTACTTGAATCTTTTCTGGTGCAGGAATTTTTCATTAAAATCGGTATTAGATATTGGAATTCAGATTTTTTTTTCTTCTGGAGATTTGGTGTATTTACTCAGAAGCAAGTCCATCTATATCTATGCTATAGTAGCATACTATACTTACTATGCATACTTACTATGTGTTAATCCTTAGATTTAATCATTAGCAATGCATTAGATAGATGACCTGATAGAAAAATACTTATATATGTAAATGTATTTTCAACTGCATATTTGAATGCAATTAAAGATTATATAATTATCAACTATACATGAAGATATAAGATTCTGTGTTCTTTTATTTTGGCCATTTAGAATTTGATCATGCCCATTCTCACTTGGGATGATTGTGATGATGTACTCTTGTTGAAGGATTGTTCTGATGAGAGGATTTGCACAGTTATATGCAACTGTAAATGAATACTAATATAAGAAACAAATCTGTGTAATTGTTGTACCAGAGAAGTATTTCAAAGTAATAATTTCTGTAAACATGCATTTATTTTATTTTTTTTTAAAAAGCAACCTGATTGATAGACTTAAAGGCAATATTTCATAATATATTGGGAGAAGTACTTTTTAGAAGCATGGGGTTGATCGCAACAAGTTTGGAGATCACCAGGCAGACTCAGAAATTTGACCTGCTGGCTAGACATGCAAACTTTAGGAGACCTTAACAGTGGAAAAGAGCTAGAGGCAGAAAGAATACAGCTTTCTTTTGCTGAATGGGTACATTCATTGCCAGCAGTTATATGACCTTCAGGGCTTCTCTGGGAGGACAGTCCGAGTAGTACAGCATTTTTGTTGTTGGAAGAGGCTTTTGGAAATAATGAAATAGATGGTGCACAAAATCCTGGGGGAAGCCAGCAATTTATGGAGGCATAATTGTATCCTATTCTGAAAACATATGTTGCAAAGGGCCGGTATCCATTTAGCTTAGACTTAAAGCCACTCAAAGTAGGCTTTTGTGAAGTAGATGTATATGAAGTTATTCTGTTGAAAAGAACTATGTTCCTATGCAACTCTAAGGTTGATATGCGTGACTGATAAGCCTATATAAATGTCAATTCACAGGTTTATAATTAAGCATAGCCCTCATTTGTTAGAAACAGCAAACACAACAATCAAATCTACTAATCAGTGTTGCTAAGAGAGTATAGAAAGTAAAATGAATACATACAAAGAAAGACTCAGGTGAAGGACTGGAAAAAGTTGCTTTAGAAATCAAAAGGGATGGGCTAAATTGAAAATATAAAGAATTTTTAGTTTCATTTTGGTCTGAAGCTGATGTAAGAGAAATCATCCTTCTCTTAAATTTCATAAACCATGGCTTAGAACTGTTGTTTGCAGCCAAGTCTTGTTAATAGTTTTATATCTGGATGTGTTTGCAGAACTCAATTCAGATAAGTACTGTTGCTGCTATAAGCACTTAACTGTAGGGCATGCAGCATAGTATTATTTATTTATTTATTTCCCACCTTTATTATTTTTTCTAAACAATTCAGGGCAATGGACATATCTTATACTACTTTCTTCCTCCTATTTTCCTCACAACAACAACCTTGTGAAGTGAATTGGGCTGAGAGAAAGTGACTGGCCCAAGGTCACCAGATGGCTTTCATGACTAAGGCAGGATTAGAACTGAAGGTCTTCCACTTTCTAGCCTGGTGCAGTTAACCAAACTGGCTCTTAGTACTGATATATGTAAAGTGAAGTTAACTTGGGAAAAATGGATCTTAACTAGACTTTTGTAAGAGTAGGGATTGAAGAAGGGATTCCGTATAAATTGGCACTTGCTTTACACAGCTTTGTTTCAAAACCGAGACTATTTGCATGGACTGTATCTTTTATAACATTGAGAGTACTTAGTTTGGTACTTTGGCACACTACTCTTAGTGTTTAAAACAAATATCAACTGTTTGGGTTGCTGAAAGACTTCAGCCTCCTGTGTTAACTGGCATGTACATGATTCAACAATGAAGTTATATTTCTATAGTTCAGGCAGGTTATTTGTTAGTTGAAGTTGAATAACCTGGGATAACATGTAGTGAAGTCAAGATTTAAAAATGACAGCCACTTCAAATAAAGCATATCGATTCACTTCACCTATCTTCAGTTGTGTTTTGTTGGGAGGTTCCATATTGCTAATGGGTGTTCTGCAATTTGCGAAATGCCAAATCAATAAATTTAAAGGAACCTAATGAGAGATGGACCCTTCATGGATTACTGCCTTGTCATGGCAAAGGGGCTTGCATAGTTCAATGAAGCTTTGAGCTATGCCATGCAGGGCCACCCAAGATGGACAGGTCATAGCAGAGAGTTCTGACAAAACTGATCCTCTGGAGAAGGAAATGGCAACCCACTCAAGTATCTTTGCCATGAAAACCCCATAAACAATACCAAAACGAAAAAAGATATGACAGGGAAGATGAGCCCCTCAGGTTGGAAGGTGTCCAATATGCCACTGGGGAAGAGCAGAGGGCTAGTACTAGTAGTGCCAGAAAGAGTGAAGTGACTGGGCCAAAGCTGAAAGGACGCTCAGCTGTGGATGCATCTGGTGGTGAAAGGAAAGTCCATGCTGTAAAGATTTTTTCTTCATAGGAACCTGGAATGTAAGATCCATGAATCAAGGCAAGCTGGATGTAGTCAAATAAGAGATGACAAGAATGAACATCGACATCTTAGGAATCAGCAAACTAAAATGGACAGGAATGGGTGAATTTAAT